GTTCTAACTTGATGTCCCAAAATAATGTGGTTGACTGATCACAGTTATGGAGGAGGGGCACAGGGAGAAAATGAGGATCTGTGACCAATCCTGCAACAGAATGGCACTACTGGCAGATAATCCAGTTCAGTCCTTGAACCCCGAAGTCATCCATAGCACATGTATAGCTAAAATGGAGTAGACCTAAAGGCAATGACCACACCAAAGTGTAGGCTGTCTCCCATAATGTCTGCCTGGCTAATCTGATCTGGAACGGTAAGCGTGTTCCAGGTTCCTTCAATTAAGTGTTACCATCTAATAATCGACTTGGTCTCTGTTAGAAACTCCCAAGTGGCCTACTGGTCCAGATCATGTTCTAGATGTCTGTTTGCCCATTTAGCTACCTGGAATTCAGCAGTAATATCTTTCATCAGGAAGACTGGCAAACCATCTGAAGCCAGGGAATAATCAAAATCTGTGTGTTCCCCACAGCTTGATCATCTCTGCCAGTTGTTATCACTGTCTGAACTGATACTTTTGAATGGATTTCTCTCCCATGAGCAATCAAAAGCCACCTCACTACTGATATGCAAAATAGGCATGCTGATAATATAGTTAAAGCCAGCTGACACTTCTTCCTGATTCACTCTGTATAAGTAGTGTGTCTATTTCCTATGACAGAGTTTCTCAGGCTTTAGGGTACCATGTTCTCTAAAAATGATAAATTAATTTTTGAAGGTCTCCTCTGCATAGAACTAATTTAGTTGGGGTTAGAGCTGGGCAATAAATAGTTAAACCACTTACTTTTAATCAACATATCCTAGGGCAGTGATGGCGAACCTATGACACGCGTGTCAAAAGTGACATGCCACTATGTTTTGAGTGATATGCCAGCGTTCACCAACACCCAACAACAACTATTCTCCCTGTTTGAGTTACCAAAGAAACTGAGTTTGTAACCACTTACTTTTAATCAACATATCCTAGGGCAGTGATGGCGAACCTATGACACGCGTGTCAAAAGTGACATGCCACTATGTTTTGAGTGATATGCCAGCGTTCACCAACACCCAACAACAACTATTCTCCCTGTTTGAGTTACCAAAGAAACTGAGTTTGTTTTACTTGTATTTCATTTTTGTCATTATTTGACATTTCTTTATATAATACATAGCACAATACATGACTGGATTGTTTTTTTTTTTTTTAGTAAATATGTAAAGAATTTTTCTCTTTTATTTGGTTTGTGTGTGTGACACACCAGCAGAGTCGAATTAGGCGTTTTCTGAATTTTGGACATGCCGAGCCCAAAGGTTTGCCATCACTGTCCTAGGGGTTCTCAAACTTGGCAGAACTACAATTTCCGACTGCTGGTTTATACAAGCAAGATGAGGAGCCATCAGGAGACAGCTTGTCAGTGTTCCTACTTTGCCTGTCCAAGCCTGATCAAGTTTTTTCCAAAAAAAATTGTGACCCTGCACAACCAGGGGCCCCAAGTTTGAAAACTCCTGCCCTATAGTGTTAGTCCTTAGATAACAGGCCCATCCCTAAATTAGCAAGTCATTTTGTCTGGTAAAGGTGTGCAGTTTTCAAAGCTTAGGAGTGGGCAAAGGTGTTTTGGATCTAGTGTGGGCATATACACACCCCTACTTCTCAGCATTGTTATTAAAAAGCCATGGTTTTCCTGAGTTTGCATGGTAGTCATGTGGGCTCAGGAAAATATCTCTGAGTTATGGAGATGTTATGGAGGTGGTGAGAAGGTGGTAACACATGGGTTGCATTCTGTTGTTGCTTGTAAAGAAATGCAAAGATAGCATTGAGGAAAATAAGCAGGAGCCATTAAGGGAAAATAAATGACAACTCAGACCTGGGAAAGGGAGGATGTGATAGAAACTCACAATACCCCCCCCCCATTCTGTTTTGTATAAGAGGGGGCAGAGGGAAACTCTCAAGTTTTCGAGATTCTGTTATTATACCCTGCAACAATAAGGTAGCATTCCTGTAATCCTTGCAATGTTTGTTTTCTGACCTGGCCTACCATGAAGGGTTAACAATGTCTCTGTAAGGCCTCCTTTGTTTACATAGGGATTTTCCTGAATCCCTGTAGCTGCTGTGGAAACCTAGGAATAGGCACACTTCTGCAACCTGGATATTTGGCATTCTGTTAATCAATCCCTGTGTGAAAAAGCTTTCTTCTCTTTTGCACATACAACCTGTTTTTGTTTAGATTATTACCTAAATTTTTATTCCTTGGTATCTAAAGTTTTAACACAAATGAAAGATGATATAGATAGATGGTTCAATATTCCTTGAATATTTGAGGTGAGATAAACATGATTAAGAAGAATTTAATTCTGAGCTTGAGTGATACTTTAAGAGGTTTTCTTATTTTTATTTTTAAACTATTTCACAACCTTATGAGATATTAAACAACTTTCTATGGCATGGGCATCCTTAAAGATGTTTATGCATGAATTGCAATTACATGTAAAAACAGGTAGACTTAATTTTCCACATGTTCATGTTCATTATGGGTGGGGGAGGGGTTCTATTTTGTTCCTGTGAGAAGGAAATCAAATTCCCCCCCCCATGTCAGCAGGAAGTCAAAGTTTCCCATTTGTCTCACCCCACCGTTGTTTATCTTAACAGCAATCAAGGCATCTGATTAAATTATAGTAAGAATGAGCTCACCTAAAACGATTAAAAACTAGCAGGAAGAATCAAGAGTTCTCCACCCCAGCCCAAAATTAAATAACTAAAAACCTAGCAGGAAGGGCCAACATTCCTTGGAGCCATAATCAAATCATAAAAAGTGTGTTTTAAACAGCATTTTAGCATATTTTAAAGTAATGTAATGCAATTACAGAACAAAAAAAAAAGCTCCAGGAGCAGGTGTGAGATTGTGGGAAAGCAGGCGAGACCATAAGTTTGGTTTATGTCAGAAGAGACAGTCCAGTACAGTTGTGAGAGGAATAGGAAGAAATTGTGTCAATGAGGCTTAATTAACTCATTGCAAATGAGGCTGGAAATAGTCTTAGAGTTATCAAGAGTCTGTATTTACTCCAGTCTAGCATTAAAGATGCCTCACTGAAATCTGTGTCATTCTTGCTTCCATGCTTTTGCCAGCTACTATATGTGGGGCTTGGCAGCAGGTGGCACTTACCCAGATTGGTGACTCAGGAGATGTAATGAAAGAGGCAGCGCTCTCATATTTCCTAGCAGTTTCTCTGGAACATCAGCCACAGGTGGACAAGGAAGCAAGGAGGTAAGATGATACACTGTTTTCATGATCTACCTGCGCAAAGTGTTCTGCTCTTGCTCTCTTCCCAGGTGGTGCTGGTTAGTAAAAAATCATAGAACAAAAATAAAAACAATATATAAAAGATAGAAATCCTAAAGAAATCAGTAGGCTGGAGAGCAATGGGAAAATATGCTGATTAAATTTAAATATTGGTAAGAGTGGGAAGGGGAGGGGAGGGGATTTTTATCCTAGTCATCAATGGCTAATAGAACAGAAGAGTATAAGAGGAGCACTGCTGGATAAACCAAAGATCTATTTACAGTAGTTCAATAAACTGTTCCCACTTTGGCTAGCTAGTTGTTCAGGAGCCCACAAGGAGGACAGAAGCACAATAATTCCTCTAGAATAATTCCTTAAACATCTCCTCTCCTCCCCACTCTTTCTCTCTCAGCCCTAGGAAGCAGGCAATGGCAAACCACTTCTGAAATCTTGCCAAGAAAACTGCACGGACTAGTCCAGGCAGTCGCCAGGAGTCAACAATGACTCAAAGGCACCCAAAAAAAAAAAGAGAGAGAGAACCATTTAGACGGATATTCAAATGCTGCTCCTAGCTGACTTTGGCTGATTGAGAAAGTTAATCAACTGGACCTAGTTAGTATATTTGTATGGGGACCCACCAGGATATCCCAGGCCAGTAGGCTAGACTGGGGATTAAAAATATCGTAGAAGGTATGACAAACCAAGAAAACTAAATGGCTATGCCCACATAGATGCCAAGAATGAAATGCAACTGGAAAGCCTTTATATGTATAATATCTGATACTAGATATTGGCCCTTCTACAGCATGAAAAGAAGATCCTTAGAAACCTATAAATTTATTTCTCAGTAAGCACATCATCAGTCATTATTTCTAATAATAATCTCATTGATGCCTGTACACACAATCTCCAATACTTAGGTGTAAGTTGGTTGATTCTTCCTGATATAGTAGAAGCTGCCAGAGGCTAACAATGATGTATGTTAAAATCCAAAGTATTTTCATTTCCTTTTTTAAAATTAAAGGAATATAATTTTTTTAAAAAACTGATGAGGGGCTGCAAGGAGATCTTTGCAGGAACACTGGTGCTCTTAATCATCGCAACAATAAGTCCTATTGATCTTAGTGTAGCTTACTTCGAAGTAGGCATGGACAGAATTGCAGTGTTAAGTCTACCTAAGATCCAATTGAATAATCAATATTATGCTCCATTTTATGAAATGCTCAGCTCCTATTATATTTCTCTGCAAGTCTGCTTCAAAGCATTGGTAGTGATTTCTCACTGCACACAAGAAAAGCAGACCTTTGACATTTAGAATCTTAAATTCTCTGAATGTTAAATCAGCCTCTGGCAAGACATAAATGTATTGGTTATATTATCACATGGGCTATTTGTGACTATGGGCTGTTAATATTGACAAAGAACTGTTTATGTAAGTGTAAACCAAGTTAGTAACCTGGTCCACATTCTTTCATGAGACTTATGAAAAAAGGATACAAGAAACTTTCTACAGTACCTCACACGCATGCACACCAGTGAGGGAACTCATTTTGAACACTGATGCCAACTCCCAGAGCTCATACTAAAAGTTCAGGAACTGAAAATGATACCAACAGGCCTCTCAGTTGTTCTAACCTTCTATGCCTCCATCTTATGCATGATCATCAGTGCAAAGAGACTATATTCTATGTTACAGAGAAGCATCTGTAGTTCAGTTGAACTTACTCCCAGGTAGAATTGGACAGAACTGTAGTCTTACAACACAGTTGCATTTATTTTTTTATTTTATTATTTTATATATATATCTCATTTATATAAGATATATTTCTTATATTTCTGTCAGGATCTACGCAAACCAGAACCTTCAATTGCTTTTATTTCTTTTACTTTTATTGCTAACCATAGATCAATAGTGAAATAGTGGGAATGGTATTCTTAACCGTTTGCTTG